TTTTTTAAAATACGTGTTAAAGTAATTATTTGATTCTTTATCTATGACATCACGACTCATCTTCCTATAAATAATTAGATGATGCTAGACAACAATGAATCAAAAGTATAGAGAAATATCAAGTAACCACTCACTGCCGTTTTCTGCGATCGATCTCTGAAGGATTATGTTTCGAAGGAATCAAAACTGATTCTACGTGTATTTAGATAACCGATTTCAACTTAACACATTATTTAAAAAGACATTGAAAAAAGCAATCATAGACAACATTTTAAAAACTCGTAATACCTAATCGCAATACTTCCTCAAACCGCGTCAAATTATCGATAGAATCTTCAAATTCTTTGTAATTAGCAGAAACCATTTCTTCCAGATCAAACAGTAATCCACTCGCCCCTTCTTGAAATAAAAATCGTGTAAAGAATATTTCAAAGTATCTTAGATCACATCAGCGGTCTAAATCTTTTATCATTATTACCCCATTCATTTAGCATCTCTAACGGAGCCCTGATACCACTTTCCTCAGGTAATGGCTGATCTTTTTTAATCTTTAAATTTATTTCATTTTCCTCATCATCAACCATCAACTGAAGAATTTCAGATACATTAGACGGTACATCTTGTTTGACAACTTGATTCCTCTTATTGGCGATTAGAGGCTCCTCAATATATAACGAAGTTTGTTTAGATTTATAATCTCCTAATGGAGTGATGAATTCCGTGTCGTCATATCCTGCGTCATAGGATTCCAAATTTTTTGAGAGTAAAGGGGATTCCCGGGGTAAAACTTCGTGATGGAATGGACTACATAATTTAGTAGCAGAAAAAAGTTGGAGTTGGAGTTGGGGCTCTTAAAAATACAATGATTAAATTTCAACATGCCACAAAACGTCGATCATAAGTTTCTTGATTTCTTTATCTATAAAAGGACCCTGTGACACCTCGTTGACTGGCAATCGACGTGACAGATCTTTTAAACTGGGAATTTTATACAGTTCATCATTTTGCACACGTTGTGGAAATATCGGTTCCTCGATTATCGGCAGAATATTATGTTTAGCGATTTCTTAGTTGAAAATAGAAACAAAGCAAAGTCAATCGTATTGTTTGAGTTAGAATAACGGGAAAATTAATCAAGAATCAAAAGACCTCCACAAAGATTGTTTTCCGAAACTTTAAGGTCATTCGACGCGTTCGTTATCAGATTATTGATTTCTTCCGTTTCATTAATTATCCAGGTTTCCAATAATTTATCTTTTATTATGAATTTTGGTGATAACAAAGGCTCTGGTTTATTCTCATTTTCTCGTATTTGGAAATACTCTAGTGGAACTTGCGATATTAGTCTTTGAGTATAACCTACGGTAAATTGTTTGTTAGAAAAATTAGAAAAGAAATGGTAAACAATGGTGTAGAAATATGAGTACCGTGATCGAATAGATTTAACAATTTTGCGCAATTTAATAATTCCACGCGAAAACTATTTTCCTCATTTGTATAACTATTTTGGGTGACTTCCTTTGTCATTTTTCGTTGGTCTTAATGTAATTTTAATGAAGATCTATGCTTATTTTTCATGTACGATACGGTTTTATTATGCATTACACACGTGACTAAAAATTCAATGATCAATTAAATAGCAGTAAAAATCGTTTCATATAAAAAGTTTTTGATTTTACTAAAAGAATATATAAAATAATATACAAAAGCAAAGGCATTCTTTTGTAGTTTAGCATTTGTTTATAATGAATTTTTTGAGCTCTATAAAAAATTTCATATTTACTAAAACACAGTGCTAAGATTTTTTATAAAATTGAAAAATTCAATTTTAGCAAAAAGCAAAAGTAAGTTGATCGACGTCTGGTGATATATGGTAGGGGAGTGTACAATGTACAACAGTACGTAATCAGCGGCTTACACTATGACTTTAAAATTCTTTGAAAAATTTTCCGTCGACTTTACTGAACTACTTAAGGATAATAATGATTACGATGTAGTCGTAGAAGTCGGCGAGGCGCCTTTAACTAAAAAATATAAATTGCATTCCATTATTTTAAAAGCTCGCTGTCCAGTCATTGCCAAAGAACTAAGGGAAGTCAAACAGAGTGTTGCCGTTAAACAGCTTAGAAAACCGGATATTTCCGTTGCTGTTTTTGACATTATTTTAAAGTAAGCAATTATTGACCTTATATTTTCATTATGCTATATATTAAATTTATTGATATTTTAATATAGATACATTTATGGGGCCATTCTTTCGTTCGATAACTTGGAGAATTCAACGATATTCGATTTATTAGTTTCCGCCGATAAGCTTGACTTTGAAGAATTAGTTAATAGTGCTCAAGAATTTCTTGTTGAAAATAACGCTAATTGGTTACGCTTGAATTTTTCCCGAGTTCTTTGTGCAAGTTTACGTAATCCTAAATTTAAAAAGTTAAAGGAATTTTGCAGTGATATAGTTGTCAAACATCCTTCCACTGTATTTGACTCCGATGATTTTAATTCATTACCTGATGATATTCTAGTTTCAATTTTAGAAAACGATAGTTTGAGTATGGAAGAATTACAAATCTGGGATAAAGTGGTCCAATGGGGAAAAGCGCAAAGCAAAAATTTACCGAACAGCCTTGAAAATTGGTCCAACAACGATTTTATGACATTGAAAAACATCTTACGAAATGTTTTGCCAAGTATTCGATTCTTTCAAATTCCCAACAAAGATCTAATTTCTAATGTCAAACCATATATTCAAGTTCTGGATCCGAAATTATGGGATGACATTATTTGTAGAATTTTAGACCCGAGCTATCAGGTTTCTTCGCCTATTTTGCCACCTCGCACAGGTGTGAAAGTTGAATTACCAACTCGAGGAGGTAATATTTCGAAAAAGAATATAATTTACATTTCCGTTTAATAATCATATTATTTAAAATTACAGCGTTAGATAACGAAGGTAATGCCGAATAATTTTAAGATTTTGAACTTCTTTTAATACCAATTAATTAAAAAGAAAGCCTTGTTTTGCGAATTGCCCATCTAACGAGTCTTATTATATAATAGTACCAGGTATCATATGGATAATATTCATGATTTTTTGTGCACAAATAATAATAAAACGTCCTATTATTATGAAAACATAGGTCATATATTTGTAATTTGTATACACCCTTCCATGATTTTACAAAGTGTTTTGCTGACTACGTAATCAATAACTTAAACTCTAGAAGGTAAGTCGAACATATCATTATTAAGAAACCATTCCATATTAAGAGTGTTTATTGATAACTTTAATATATTTTATTTATACGCATGCGAAAGTGGATGTTATCAATTATGAACAGTAAGTTAAATAAGCAAATTTGTGGGTTTAATGAATGATTTCGAATTTTAATAACTGTTACTTATAGGGAGTAAGTCAAATATATTTTTTGATTTCAAACAAATTCCTAAGGGATAAACACTAATTATACCAATTATTGTTATAGCAAGTAAGTTAAATTAAGCATATTTTCGTGATTTCAAAAAATTATGCATGATTTTTATTTATGCCAGTAACTGTTATAGCGAGTAAATTGAATTAAGCATATCTCGTGATTTTAAAAAATTATACGGAAAAAATAAATTCCAATTACACCATTAATTGTCATAGACAGTAAGTCATAGTTTTGTCATTTCAAAAAATTATATGAAATGAATTCTAATTATATCAATAACTGTTATAGGCAGTAAGTTGAATTAGACATATTTTTGTGTCTTTGATAAATAATACGGAATAAACAAGTTCTGATTACATCAATAATTGTTATAGGCAGTAAGTCATAGTTTGTGATTTCAAAAAAATTATATGAAATGAGTTCTAATTATATTAATAACTGTTATAGGCAGTAAGTTGAATTGGGCATATTTTTGTGTCTTTAATAAACCATACGGAACAAACAAGTTCTGATTACATCAATAATTGTAATAGGCAGTAAGTCATAGTTTTGTGATTTCAAAAAATTATATGAAATGAGTTCTAATTATATTAATAACTGTTATAGGCAGTAAGTTGATTAGGAATATTTTTGTGTCTTTAACAATTTATATGGATGAACTCCAATTATAATAACTTTTATAGAAAGTAAGTTAAGCATATTTTTGTGATTTTACGAAATTATATGAAATGCCTTTTGTGGTTGTATTAAATTATATGAGATAATTTCTAATTATTCTTAATATTATTATAGTCCGTAAGATCAATCAAACACATTCTTCGCGATTTTTAAAATTATAAAAAAGATTTCATATTATAATAATTACTTTTGTAGCAAGTAAGTTAATATATTTGTGATTTTATAAAATCATGTGAAATAATTTCTAATAAGACAAACAACTATCATAGTTGGTAAGGTGAACCAAATATATTTATGGTTTTACAAAATTGTGTAATAAATTCCAATTATGCTGTTCGCTTTTGTAGCCTGTAAGTTAAATTTATCATATCTTGGGTATTTTACAAAATTATATGAAACGATATCTAATTATATCAATCACTATTATAGGGAGTAAGTTAAATTGCGCACTCTTTCGTGATTTAATATGAATTGATTACTAATAATACCGATTACTGTTATAGAGAGTAAGTTAAATTGTGCATATTTTGGTGATTTTACAAAATTATATGAAATGAACTCTAATTTTACGTATCACTATAACAGGAGGTAGGTTAAATTATTTACATTTTCGTGATTTTACTAAATTATCCGAAAAAGTTTTCTAATTATGCTGATTACTGTAATAGAAAGTAGGTTAAGCATATTTTTAAGAATCTACAAAATTATTTTGAATTTTTCTAATTATACTGATAAATGTTGTAGGAGGTAAATTAAATTGAGCATATTTTTCGCGGTTTTACAAAATTATATGAAATTACTTTTAATATGCCGATCACTATTATAGGGAGTAAGTTAAACCAATCGTGATTTTACGAAATTATGAAATTATTTCTAATTGTGTCGATTGTTGCTATAGGCTGTAAGTTAAATTGAGCATATTCTAGCGATTTCACAGATTATACCTAATTATACTGATCGCTGTTATAGGGAGTAAGTTAAATTAAGCATATTTCGTGATTTTATGTAAATTATTTCTAATTACAGTACATCGATCACTGTTATAGGGAGTAAGTTAAATAAGTCACGTTCGTGACTTTATATGAAATTATTTCTAATTATACTGATCACTGTTATAGGAGGTACTGTAATTTAAATTATAAATAGTTTCGTGATTTTAAAAAAATATTTAAAATGATTTCTAATTGATGTTATAGGAAGTAGGTTAAACTAAGCGTATTTTTATGATTTTACGAATTATATAAAATTATTTCTAATTATATTGATCTTTTATAGGGAGTAAGTTAAATTAAGCATATTTTCGTGATTTTATATGAAATGATTTCTGATTATACTGATCGCGGTTATAGGAGGCAAGTTTAAATTTGGCATATTTTGATGATTGTGCAAAATATATGGAATGATATCTAATTTTACTAATCTCTGTTTTTAGCCTGTAAGTCGAATTAAACTTAAACTTATTTTCATGACTTTTATGAAATGATTTCTAATTACACTGATCATCGTTACAGGAAGTAATTTAAATTGAAAACATTTTTGTGATTTTACATTATTATATTAAATAATTTCTAATCACAATTACCGTTATAGGCAGTAAGTTAAATAGATTTTTGTGATCTTAAAAAATTATATGAAATTATTTTTAATTATACTGGTCTCTGTTATAGGGAGTAAGTTAAATTATGCATATTTTAGAAATTTTACATAAAATTATTTCTAATTATATTAATCACTGTTATAGACTGTAAGTTAAACTAAGCATATTTTCGTGATTTTGCAAGATTACATGAAATTGTTTCTAATTATACTGATTAATGTTTTAGGTTGTAAGTTAAATTAAGCATATTTTTCGCGATTTTACAAAATTATATGAAATTATTTCTAATTATACCGATCACTGTTATAGGGAGTAAGTTAAAATAATCGTAATTTTACAAAATTACATTAAATTATTTCTAATTATGCTGATCACTGTTATAGTTTGTAAGTTAAATCAAGCATATTTTTGTAATTTCATAAAATAATTTCCAATTATTCTGATTACTGTTACAGGAGGTAGGTTAATTAAGAATTCTTTTATAACTTAATATGAATTTATTTCTAATTATACCAATTACTGTTATAGGAGGTAAGTTAAATTGTGCATATTTTAGGGATTTCGCGAAATAACCTCAAATTTAGCTGATTCTATAACAGAGGGCAAGTTAAACTATGTATATTTTCGTGATTTTACAAAATTATATGAAATTATTTCTAATTACATTGATCATTTTTGTAGACTGTAAGTTAATTTAGGCATATTTTTGTAATTTTTAAAAAATTTTAAAATAATTTTAATTACATTGACCGCAGTTATGTGAGGTAAATTAAATTAAGAATATTTTTTGTGACTTAATAAATTTATATTACATG